TCGGAGAATTGACAAAATTATCTAATTTATTTAAACATAATAGACCTTAAACGATGTTCAGTGAAAACAAACAAAACAAATAAAAAATAATGGTAAAAGACAGCCAAATGTGAGAAGGCTAGTTAGCAGGTGCTTGGTCACGATAATTACTATATAAACACTGCCAAAGGCGATAACGGTCATTTAGAGGTGTGGGAAATCCTAAATACTGTATGTACAAGTACACTGAGCATTTTACGTTTTAAAACAGATTGTTTATTTCATTAATAAATAACCTACAAAATATTCAAAAATATACATCCGAGTAACCGAGTACTGATTTTAGTATTCAATACTCGGACGTTCGATCGAGTACCCGGTTAACCGGGTACTCGTTGACATCCCTATTCAATACACTAGGCGCCGGAATTATGAAGCATCTTAAGCTTAAGGCGCTGAAATTATTTTAAAGTTTAGCAGTCCATAATGAATATGTTTTCCAAATTTGTATCAATCTGCTGTCATATTCATAGTACTGTCATATTTAAATAAAGAGTTTCATTACACAGGTTATGAACATTTTACCTGAATAGATGATTGAAATTTTGTCTTAAGTCTAAGTCTGTTTCATGATCCTGGGGCCAGGGAGCTTTATATAAATGATGGTATTAATATCTCAATATACGTGAAAAAATATCGAAGGGGTGTTAAACAAACGTATAGACAAAACAAATTTACCTCCAGACCAAGTTCCATATTGATAACAACCTGAAGAACAATCCAATTTTTTATCCGCGATAAGGCTTACACAGGAAACCAAACCACTGTATGTTTCTCCGTCAAACGACCCTCCCACTCTCAATGTCCCCGGGGTGTGCAGTGTAAGAGAACCGGTAGCAGCATCAGAAGTGACCTTCTCAGCATTGTCATCGTCATCAAAAACGGAAATATCAACAGAAAGCCGGATTTTACGCTGAGATTCGTCAACTCCGATACCGATTTTCTGCCATTGTCCCAGCTGTAGAGAATAATGGGTAACAGTAAGATTTTCACCTGTACTAACGGTCGCCCGAGTTTCAGAAATTCCGGAGAGGAACTTCATATTGAAAAGGCCGTCGTCCGACTTGTAGTGTAGGATGCAGCTATGATTGTTAGTATCAGGATTTACGAAGGCGGAGAATCCGTAATCTGAGTTACTGAGTATACTGGATAGGCGGATGTCAATATAAGATCCTGCCGACAATCTGACGGAGGGAAAAGGGGAATTATCAGGGGCATAAGGGTGGTCGTCGACAAAAGTCAGGGGACAGGAGGCGCCCGATCTAGCGCCTGTGCTCAATAAGACATCCTGAGTGCATAACATTGGAACCAACGGCCATCTCATCACAGTCTTTGAGGAACACGCTGGCGGTGCCTCTACACCTGAAAGTTAGGTAGAAATTAAAATGATATGCGTCCATGAAAGGTACGTAATATTCTGCTTTCATGTGTTTATACTTCTTAAACTAAATATTCGTGAAAATAAGTTCACCGATGGTTTGAAATATTGAGTCAAGTGATGCTGAAAAAAAATGAATCTATATTTTTAATTCATCTGAGAAGAAGGCTTGAGTGAGCTTTTTTGATCATACTATTTGCGCACAGTAACAACAAATTTATCAACTTCTCTAGTACATTGTACCACTGAAAAATAAAAATCACAAAGGTTAGACATTCACTTAGCAAATATAAGAACTTTAAGGGTTTGCTATTGTGTGCAACCAAGTGAGACTCACTGAAAATAAAAACCTTAATATCTTTGAAAATAAGCCTTGCCAACACTTGAAAACTGGTCCATTTCATCTTCATAATGAAAACCATGCAGCTACATTGACACTTACAATAGTTTGCAGCTAAGAAGTGCACAATACACCTGCAGGACTGCGCAGCCACAGGTTTTAGCAGTGCATTAAAAAATCCCCAAAAATATGAAATAGTTAAATAAACAAAGTGGCTACATCTATATGTAAAGAATCATTCTTTTACATGAAAACTGACTGCAACAGGTACAATTCTTTAAATGCATACTTGTCAGTTCAACAAGAAAATGTTAGCCATGAAAGTAGTGCCAACCACATGGCAATGTGTTAAAAATAGACTTAAAGAGACTCACTGTTGTTCTATAAATAGCACTTTATATGAAAGCCCAAATTTATCTAAAGGATTACTCTATGGTGTGTACAAAACAGGGAAATAAATGTTAGACAATTGATTTTCTCCTTAAAAAAATATGCTAAATAAGAGATTAAAAATCTGTAGGGTAATGAAACTGTGCAATTTAAATGACACTTGGCCCACAATGTTTACTTGAGTCATATTTGTGTTCTTCAGATTTTGCTCGTTAAAGGACCATTTTTTATTACACATTCCCATGCAAGACTTTGATACCCTATTCTAGGGTCTAATTTTCATGGATGACAGATGAACAGAGTTAACCGACACCAGAGACCCTTTAATAGAAAAGCTCCATAGAGCCTTTTGCTAAGATGACTTAAGGTAGGTCCGTACTTTCAGAAATTTCTGTCAAACTGATAATTTTTCAATTTGAATACCTTGAACAAGTCTTAAACTTACTAAAACACCCATAAAAGACATATCTTTGCAGGTTAATTTTCATACAACATGTCTCAGCGCACATACCTCTAAAATATCAACAGCCAAAATTGAACATAAAAAAGTGTGATATCATATTTCTCTTAGTTATGCACCAAATCACATCAAATTTATGTTAAAACGTATGAAGATCAAAAATATTCATTTGCCAAGAGAATATTTGAAATCTTTACTGCAAAACATTAACAAATTGGTGTTGAATCTGTCCATGTCTTTCAGAAAAAAATCTCAAAATATCTTTATTTTTTATAATTCTCAAAATCTAAAATGTTTAGATGCCATTTTTTCTTTAAATCTATTAAGAATTATATCTAATGTTAACAAAAACAGCTACTTTATTATGGTTGACCAGAGAATTTTAACAAAACAGTCTTTTGAAGACGTATACCCCCATTTTTAGAATATCAATTTTTTCAATTATTCAATGCAAAATTTGTAAAAAGTAAAAATTAAATGGATGGTATAGGCTCTAAATCAATAAAAATAGATCTCAGGTTAGTTTACTTAAAAGAAAATTCAAAACATTTAGGTCCATAAAAGCAATTAAGAATTAATTTTGTGTCTGTGTATGTAATAAATGACATGTAGATCTTATGGACAGAGTGCAAAGTGTTAATTTCCATAAATAATGTATATTAAATGCTTCATATGCACAATAACACTATAATAAACAAATATATACTTGCTAAATCATTTTCAATCACCCAAAAAGATTAATATCAATAGAAAAGTGAAAATCAGAATTTTATATTGATGTGTAAAATTAGAACCGGATCCGTAAAAGTGTGGGCCTTCCTTAAGATATTAAAATGTCTTTGATTATTGTGAAAAAAAAGTCACAAAGAAGAACAAAACAAAAGGATGATAAATGAACTTTTTTTTTTTAATTCTTCATCACTTCCAGAATATTATATTTCTTTTAACATGTTAACCAGCATATACAAGTTTGACTAATTTCTTTTAAAAGTTTGTTTACAGATATAATTAAGGTATGATTTTAAAAATAAACTTCAATCTTAACAATATAACTGCAGTATGAGGATATCTGGGACCTTTGTTCTAAGCACTGGTGTCAAAAGACTGAATTAAAACATTTTGTGCATTTGATGCACTGAACAAGAACACATATAAATTAGGTAAAAAAATGTAATTATAATATCCTTTACCAAGATCCCAAAATGTTCTTCATTGGAAACTTGTGGAAAGTTCATATATGTATTTTTGTTTTATTGTCATCATATGATCTTTTTCAACGATGTTCGGAAAGTTCAACACATGTGTAAATACTACCGTGAAATCACAAATAACTTTCAAGTCATATTGTAATAAACTAGATCAGGGTCTTTATATGTTGCGGATATTTTCTCCAACACTGTTTTCCAAAAGATTGAGACAAACCAACATGGACAAAACCTCTGTCATTAGAACCATTTCCTCTTTAACTTTGAAATCTGTAAAATAATATAACATAACATTAAAAAAACCAATACAGTATCACTATCAAAGAAGAAAATTGTATTGAATGATAAATCTTTACATCATGACAGTGGTGACTAATAAAAAGCATTAAAAAATAGACAAGTAAATTTCAGGGCCAAAGGTTACACATCCCTCAGCAATTATGGTAACATTGTAAATATTGGCCAAAACTGTTTGTTGCATTGAATTTACATGTGTTAACGTTTCTCATTTTAATTTACAATTGTGTAGATCACAGTAGTTTAATCCATATACTAGAGATAAATGATTCTAATTTGTATACAAGTATATTAATATTTTAATGGACTTTTGAATTTGATTACTGTTTGTTATCTTAAAATTCATATTTCCTTGAAAGTTTTTTCCCATTTTTTTTCTTGACACATTTTAACCTCAATGTGTCAATTTCTATCAGATTTATCAAATTAAAAATTAGTTCTGTCATGTTAGAAATAATAAGCTTTGCCTGTACCATTATAATGTAGATCCTCAACGAAAATAATAATAATAATAACCTTAGAGATATTAAGTGGTGGCTACAGATACATTCATTATTATTTTTCAATATGAAAATATCTTAAAGGTTTCTACTAGAACATTATGGAATTTATGAATCAATACCAAAATATACCCTCTCCACGGCACCTTTCTCTCTTTCTTAAAAATGCAACAACCTAAGTCTGATTGAGCATAATGAAAAACTTTCATAAAATGATGATTTAATTAAAAATAAATATGCTAGGTAGCATTTGATTCAGCATACTCAAAGGTAACTTAAGACCAGTTGAGACTCCTTTATTAATTAATCCTCTCTTCAAGTTTTCAATCTACCATTTCAACTTAAGAATAGAATTATATACAATTTTCATCTAGCTTTTAAAAAATAATGCTAGTTATACATATATATTTGTTCAATTTTCTGCTTTTTTTCATTTGAGAAACAATCTATATATCATTAATTTAATTTTGTTTTCTCTAATGACATCTTCATATACTAGCTGCACTAATCTGCAAATCAGATTGAGTATGGTCCAAAATGACTTGTATATTTATACTAGTATAGTACAATCTTGTGTGAATATCATTATATAAAGAATAATAATACTTGCACCATGTGCATCTTTTTTCACCAAAAAAAAAAAAAAAAAAAAAAAAAAAAAAGAAATAACATTTGAATATCAAAATTTTGATTTACAAATAACACAACTGATTTACCATATTTGTTTAATACGTAGAGCCGTTTAACGTAGCCGTCATTGGACATTTAACTTGAGTGACTGAGGCTCAATGAAGGATGATCCGATCTTACACAACTATTAATCGCTCATTAATCACTGTTAATGAAACGAAATTTACTCTACTCATAATATTTGAAAACCTGTTTTTAACTTCACGGTATTTTGAAATAATGACAAACACTTTTGGTATTTTGAAACAAAGTAACATTTATTAGTTCCCCGCTCCTTACAGCTGACCTAATCGTGGTCTGCAAGAACCACGTGGAAATTTTCGGATGCTCCAAATAATGTTTAACCTATTTAAAATTTATGTGCACCAGATCACAGACTCTGTCATACTCAAAATGTATTACTGACACTAGGAGTTCTGTAAGATATCTGAGATAAGGCTCATAATTCACAATAAACACAAAAATTCGACTTACCAACTCCTACTTTCACTTTAGCCGAATATCGCATGACAGACATCAGAAATAAACTGCGCATAGCGAATATAGTTCTTAATTTTCGTGCAATATTGTTTAAAATTATTTGACATCGCACTCCACCTGTAGGATTAATATACTTATCTAACAAAAGTATAGTATTTTATAAACTTACCTGCTAAAGGAATAACAGGCGTTAACTTCAATCGGAACTGCTAAAACTGAGCGCGTATTAATTTATCAGGTCCATTGTAAAATCCAAGAAGGAGCATTCTATGATACGAAGTAAACATCTATGTAACTCTTATGAAAAATAATATTAAATATGTCGATCGATACTTTCAACACATGGACATGTTTTAAGAGATATCTCTCTATAATTTCTTTGTGTATTGGGGGCACTAGAGACAACAGATTATAGAAATAATTCAATAGTTTTCAATACCGGAATCATGGGAATGGCAACCCACCGATTTCGCATGGCAGACATGCCTAGGTGGTGAAAAACATATAATTATAGAAAAAATACGCATGTAATTGCTAGGAACAAAACAAATAGTTGTACTCATGACGTTCAACTATCTGTACATATACAACAAATGTCATGTTACTGTTTTATTAGACCTGCAGCTGTGCAGTCCTGCAAGTGTATTATGTACATTGCTGCTGCAAGACAATGCAAGTGACAACCAATTTGAATACATTTCAAGACAGCTTTGCAATAGAGGGTGCCATGGGTCATGTTTTTTGAAAAAGCAAGAAGTATTTATTAAAATATTGAGATTTTTATTTTATACGAGTTTCACTTGACTGAACACAAAAGCAAACCTTTAATAGAAGTTTACTTTCGGGACGGTAAATCAGCTAGCTGTTACACTCTAAAGCATTATTTAAACAGGCTATTGTACAATCAAATTTAATCAAATGTCCTTTCGTTTTAATCGAACATCGTGTAAATGAAAACTTTTTTTTACATATGCTCATACGTACCAGGACACCAATTAGAGAGCTGGAGTGGCTCTGATGTCGGATAGATGGAATTCCTGTACAGGAATAAACCTAAAAGTATATGTAATAAGAATTGTTGAGTTGATAGTAATTACAAATAAAATATAAAATAAAAATGTTTTGAAAACTTTTTAAACCCTTTCAAACATCAAAGTTTGATTTCGATTAAGATTCAAAAATGTAAATGCCATCATGTGGGCACTTCTTTCAACGACTACAGTTTTGCATGATACATCGATACATGCTATACTTTCACTGTTAGAATAATATAGAGAACTAGAAACTCTTGTTGCTACAGCAACAAAAACGGTCTTCCGTTCTCCTCTATTCATCTGTATGAATGAACTTTTATCTATGGTAAAAAAGGCATATAATATTTACAATGATTCCAATAAAACAACCGGCCGGAAGTGTAACTAACCAAGATTCTCGACGTTACTTTAGACAATCATAGTCTTAATAACATTTATAAAAACATTTTTAATTTTTTTCACTTCCTGTGTCGACCGGAAGTGACGGCGGACGGATTTTACCCTATATCTGTTGCACAATCTTCATGGTTTATTATTCATATAAGTTAAGCTTCTTATCTGTTACAGTTTAAGAGATCTCGTAATGTTAACTTCTCATATTGAGGATAAAAATCACGTGACCGGAAATTTTTTTTTATAAAAGATATTTGTGGGATAGTATGATACTAAATTTATGCAGTTTTTCTCTAATAACCGGAAGTTGTTTCCAGTGGGACGGACATATTTCGAAACAACAAATAAAGTGCTATAATGTATTACTAAGAAAGATTCCATAAAGAAAAGTTGAAATTTTTGGTTTATTTGATCACCTCTTGTGATAACCGGAAGTGACGGCGGACAATTCTAACCCAAACGGATTTGTTTACTTATCAAGATCTACCTTTCCTTTAAGTTTGGTGTATTAATCTCTTACCGTTTACGAGATCTAGCTATGATAACTTCTCATTTTGAGGACAGAAATCACGTGACCGGAAGTGAATTTTATAAAGATATTTGAAGTTACTGTTGACATTTGCAGTCTTAATAATATATCCAAAAATCATTACAAATACTTTATCCATAAAAAATATTAATGGGAAAGAAAAATATTAAAATTATTGTATTTTATTTCTGGTGGGACTGATATATTTTGAACCTACAGAAAAGATGCTGTAATGTGATGCAGAAAAAATTTCCCCCCAAAAAAGTTGAAATATTCGATTTTTTTATCACTTCCTGTGACGACCGGAAGTGACGGCGGACAATCTTAACTCAAATAAATTTGCCTACTTATCAAGATCTATTACTCCTATAAGTTTGATGTCTTAATCTCTTACCGTTTATGTGATCTAGCTATTATAACTTCTCATTTTGAGGACAAGAAATCACGTGACCGGAAGTGAATTTTAAAACGATATTTGATTTTACTGTAGACATTTGCAGTTTTTGTAACATATCCAACAATCATTACAAATACTTTATCTATAAAAAATATTTATGGGAAAGAAAAATACTGAAAATATGCAGTTTTTCTCTTATAACCGGAAGTTGTTTTTTGTTTCCAGTGGGACTGACTTATTTCGAAACTACTAATAAGATGCTATAATGTGATGCAAAAAAGTTTCAAAAAAGAAAAAGTTCAAATTTTCGATTTTTTTTTTATCACTTCCTGTGACAACTAGAAGTGACGGCGGACAATGTAAACCCAAATGGTTTTGTCTACTTATAAAGATCTATTACTCATATAAGTTTGGTGTCTTAATCTCTTACCGTTTCTGAGATATGACTCGGACAAACTTTTTTTGAAAAAAGCGGAAATCGGACATAAATGACGACCGAAACTTAAAACTGCATTTGAAAGATATTTCTACTCTCTATCATCTCTGAAAATTTCATGAGAACCCGTCCAGTCATCTCTGAGAAACCGTCGAAAGAAAAAGGGGGGAAAAATTATAATAAAAAGAAAAAAAACCCATAGTATCACTGTAAGAACTTCCGTCTGAAACGGAAGACCTCAATTAAACATACCGCCGAAGGCCCTCTGGCTGATATTGGTATCTCGGGTTGATAAAGGATGTGATATGGAAAAGGGTATGTTTTATTATATATATTTATCACATACCTAGTAATAAAATACAGAACACATAAAAAAATGTACACAATCTATTGTCTCATACAGTTTCGGTTTGTTTCTGCATGTACTTCTATTTCAAATGTCCCCAATCCGTAATTTTAAAATAATCTATTTTTTATCAGTTAGATTATCATTACATTCAAAAAGTTAAAATTAGGAGAATTATGTAACCCCCCAAAATGATATGATGGTATGATCATAAGTACTGTTTTTGAGGTTTAATTTACTAGGGGTGTGATATTGATCCGTATCAGCCCTGCAGGTCTGATACGGCTATTATGACGTAAGCCATATCGCATATGCAAAAATCCTGTATTTATTACTAAGTATGTAATAAAACCATTTAAATATTAAGCATAAAACTTACTTTTGTGTCTAAGTGTTGAGGGAGGATATCGTCCCATAGTAAAACAGTATTCGAGATCTTTGTCCTTAATTGAGAACTGTGTACAATATTTAGTTTCATTTTCGTATATAACTGTATAACAATTTGGATGCATTAAACAAATTGATTCACAATGTACTAAATTCAATATGTTTTTATAAAATGATGTATTGCACAACTTGAATATGTCATTTTCTTTTATGGCTGAAGTTGCTGACTCTCGCATGCATTCTCCAAGATCTATAATATGTATAATATGTTTATATTAAAATCTTGAAAAAATAAAAATAATAACTGTCGTATTAAAAATTCACTTGATCAATCAAAGATTAACTTTATACAGTTGATGAAAAATATTTAAATTATTTATCAATCAAGCTTCTTCAATTATCCTAGTTTACTACATCAACGTTGAAGTGAAAAAGACAAAGACGGTGACTCAGAGTCTTTGGGTGGGGATCTAGTCTGTCAGCCGGTTAACAGAACAGATGGCTGAAAGGAAAATATTATACAGTTGTTGACTGGGGTAGAGGGAAACAGTCGATCTGTTGGACCGGAGTGCAAGCTGTTACATGCTTACTCCAGAGACCCCTTTTAACAACTGTTTTGTTATACTCCTATAGAATTTCCTCAAGTCAATATGCTTATCAATTTTTTCACACAATTTATTCCGCAGAAGTGGTAGATATGTCGATCTAGAGACACTTAATATTTGCTGAGAATATTTTCAGCTGTTTTCACAACATTTTTTGCATTCTTATTGGCCCTAGTTTCGAGTATCGAGTTCTTCCTTGTTTGCCGCAGTGAAACGAGCATCTGCCATTTCTTACCGACAGGTAGCCTTAGTACATAAGTCCTGGAACAGCTTCATCGGATAGTCTTTTTTAACAGTTCCTTGGACCGGTAGGCGGGGAAAACAGTCGAATTGTTGGAGTTTTTAAAGTAAGGAATTATATAGGAACTGTTTAGTAGGGGTATAACAATGGGAATTTATTAAACCTCGTTTGCGTATCTCAAAATGCATCATTTTGTGTTCACCAGTTTCCAATTCTACTTCAAAACAAAGGAATAAGGGGTGGTTTGAAACACTGCCATGAGCTTTGGAAGCTCTTATAAATCTTAAATATCTAACAAACGGACTAGTTAGGAACAATGATTTGGGAGAAGTGTTTCATAATCGTTGCTTTTTATTCTTTGTAATTTTATTCCAAATAATTCTTGATTTGTTCTTTTTACCTATCAGTTATAAGCGTGAATAACGTTGGGGAAATTATATATCCATCTCGTAATATGACTGGAGAATCCACATAATATATATCACTAAAGTTATGCTGTATTTCCTTTGTTCTAATATTATAATTCCATTTGTTTTCCTTGTTTTTATATGTATTAAACGTCCCTCTTAAGAATGTTCACACATATGGAGAACCCGCGACGTATGGATCAACAACTTACTTCGCGACTCTTGAGCAGTCGCTCTAAGCTCTATGCCATGCAGGTTACTATATTTTGTTTGAAATGATTTTTATAAACCCAGTACTAAATGTAAATACAGTACTCTCAAATATCTTTTAAAAAGCATTGAAGTTGGGTAACGATAAATTGTACACCTTAATCTTTGCTTTTCTATACCTTGTACAGTTTGAGTTAATCTTTGAAAAAAATGTAATTACCTTCATTATTTTTTTCGCATAAAAACATTTTTGCTGTAGAACAGTTTTCGGTAACAAGGATCCCCTCGCGCCGATTGTAGTAAAGGCAAAACATATTATCCGGATTAACTTGTGTTATGTTTACCGGAATTTGGGAATCAAGTTGATCACAATTTTCTAACATACTTTCATTGTTAGAAGACCTCAAAAAAGCTCCAATCCACACTTCTGCTGAGATTCTTAAAATAAAAGATTTGAAAACTCGTCTATTTAATTTTAAAATCTAAAAGAATCATAATTTTATTTCAGTATTGATGTCATTTTATGAAAGTCTTGGGCAACACATAAAAACTAAAAATTAATTATATTATTTCTAAAATTATCTTCAATGCTTATTGAATCTACCTCAAGTCGGAATTGATTTCAAACAAATCATCAACCTCTTCCAGAACTAGGTCTAAAAAGTACATTTCAGTCAGTGATGTAATTTGTGCTAGTGTCCCGTTTCTTGAAGCACAAACATTATATGCGGTGTGCCATGACGCTTCTGGTAGATGGACAGTGTATCTACATTTTGGATCCCTGTCTGCAAATGAAACACTAGCATGGAATTAACGAACAGTATTCAAGATCATAAGACTTGTCCGTCCATTCCAACAATGAAAATCAAGATGAAGAGCAAACACGGACATCAAGAACGTCAGAGGTTTAATAATAATAATATAATAAAGCCTTTATTTATCCAGGATGACATACTTTAGCAACAATGCTAGTTTTCAATATGGTCCTGCATTAAAACATACATACATACACTCAGGTATTAGTAAAATACAGTTTAAAAGAAATAGAGAACTTATAAGATTTAAAAAAAAAATGAAATACATGTATAAGATAAAAGAATATTAAACAAAATTGAAACGCATGGTGGTATTCTGTTAGATAGTTTCTTTTAAAGCATAAAACACCTGTCGCATTTCTTATATTTTCACTCAGTGTGTTCCATAGATTGCTGCCTGAAACAACAAAAGATCTCTTATAGTACTCAGTTTTTGCCCTTGGTACATACAATAAATTAGAATTGGAATTTCTAGTTTGTCTTTGGCTAACATCTGATACATAATTAAACACGTTAAAATAATCAGGCATCAATCCACGTAATACTTTATAAACTAAAGTGACTTTTCTAAAGATAAAATAATCTGATAGAGGCATCCAATTCAGTTTTGTAAACATGACAGTAGATGGCGTTTGAAAATTTCTGATGTTCAAAATGCAGCACGTTTTTGTAATATTAATAGTTTTTTCACATTTTCAGCATTTTTCGGAATACTCCATACATCTATAGTACAACAGTATGTAAAATGAGGGAAAATCATGGTATTAAAGATCTTCAACAATGCATCATTTGACATAAAATATCTTATTCTTTTTAAAATACCAATTCTCTTAGATATCTTGCATACAAATGCTTCAATGTGACTTTTCCAGGACAAAGTTTCATCAATAATAACACCAAGTAATTTTGACTCTTGAACACATTCTATGACATGGTTGTTTACAACTAAATTTAGTTTTCGACATTTTGATAATCTTTGTGACGTTCCAACAAGCATACATTGAGTTTTAGACAAATTTATACTTAATTTATTTTGCTCAATCCAACATACACTCCGTTGCAGATCTTCACACATCTTTGACTCTATGTTTTCTACTGACTTATCAGTTACATCTTGTGAGGTATCATCTGCATACATATTTACATGAGAGTGTTTCAGTGCTTGTGGATAGTCATTTATATACAAGATAAAAAATAGTGGGCCTAAAATAGAACCTTGAGGAACTCCAATAATAACATTCTTTTCATCAGATAGATCTCCTTTCCAAATAACTCTCTGTACACGATTTGCTAGGTACGATTTAAACCATTCAAAAGTATCGTCACATATACCAAATGATTTAAGTTTGTGCAATAAAACCTTATGATTGACGGTATCAAATGCTTTCCTTAAATCGATGGAAAGTACACCAGTAAGTTTTCCTTCATCAATATTTTTTAGCCATCTATCTACTACAGAAATAAGAGTACTTTCACATGAGTGCTTAGGTCTAAAACCAGACTGACAATCCGTTATTAAGGAATTTACCGACAAATACTCATAAAATGAATTAAAAACGTTTGACATGGTGGTTCTTGTTTCATTACATTGCT